AGCAGCTCCGGGGCCTCCTCTGGCCTCGCTCCAGCAGCTCCACGTCCCTCTGGTGCTGTTGCACCAGAGGTGGATCAGGGGGGGTCTCCCCAGAGTGCAGCAGAGGGGCAGGATCCCCTCCCTGACCTGCTGCTCACGCTCTGGGGGTGCAGCCCAGCACACGGGAGGTTCTGGGCTCAAACACAGGCTGAAGCCGAGCCATGGGGAGGTTGTCATCAAACAACACCCCCAAGTCCTTCTCCTCAGGACTGCTCCATCCCATCTCTGCCCAGCCTGTATTTGTGCTTTCCTCAACCCAGTTACCTATCTATCAGTTCCTCTTTCAGTTCCTAAAAGGAATCCTCTGCTCCTACAACTCTTGTGCTTGAAGCCTCCAAGTAAGTGCAATTTTGCTATCCCAGTCCCAGCTCACCAGCACATTACCTTGTGTGGACACTGTGGGCAGTACTGCATGAGCTGGCTGTGCTGATCTCACAGAAGATGAAGCCACTGGTTGTGCTGTCCCTCTGAGTGTATTTGGATCCTAAAAACATTTCTGTGTATTACAATGAATGCTGAAGAACAAGCAAACAGTTTGAACCCAAGATCACTTCAGAGCAGGTGTTACCCAGTTAACTCAACTGAACTGTCTAGTGGATTTGTTCAACCCTTTTGCCACCAGAACGGGGTACACTGCTCTGTACAAAGGGAGAGCTATTGCTATAGATTCCCTTCTAAGGGATTCACCCAGTAGAGAAAGCATCAAGAAAGTCATACTTATTTAACGATGTACCTCTATCTCCGAGTCACTGGAGTCCAGTTGACTACCTGCTGTCCCAGCCAGGAAAGGCAGCATGGGCTGTCCCATTTTAGCCATCCGAGAAATAAGCTTTGCCTTTGCTACATCTGGGTTCTAAAAGAAATGTTTGCAGTTACTCTCCCTTTGTCTCTCAGCCCAGGCTTTTTGGACATTAGACACATCTGCCAGGATTAGACTCTTCTAAATCATCAAGTTAATTTAGACTCTTTGAATTTTTCAGTAAGTGTGAAAAACTAATTTCCAAGCACACAAGGTAACACTGGGTTTGTTCACCTGGCTTGCTTTATATACCCTCCTCCTGGGACGACATTGATGTTATTACATAGAAAGTCTATCCCTGCACAAAGCACAGCAACAGGATGAAAATATGTGAATTAAGAAAGGTGCTTAGCAGCTGATTCTATTCTGAGGCACTCACAAGAAGTCTTCTTTCCATGTAGCTGTATAAATTTATACCAAATGTCCCAGTTACTCTTTGTTATCCATTTTATATTTGTCCATTTATCTGCAAAGACAACTAGCCTGTGATTATCCACATGGTCAAAGTAACTTACATTGAAGAGTAGGAACTGGGACTGAGGGTCCTCATTTTCTGCTATTCCCTTCAGAAACAAGGCCCTAACCTGCTGTCAGTAAGGTGAACATTTGAGAGTTTTGCCTGCCTGATGTTCACATTATCTTCAGCAATACAAATGCAAAGGTGAAACCAATCAAGCTTCCCTACTTAAGGCTTCATATTAGTTAGGAAAAAGCCAACACTTACTGCTAGCTGCTCACTGATGGAGTTTGACTTGGCCCGAACAGCTGGCTCCCTGAAAAACAGCCAAGTGTATGTTGATACTACAGATTAACCAAGATGAAATATCCAGGATCCAATATTCTGCATTTCTAAATACTGACAAATACACCTCTCCCTAGGAAAACCATTTTCCTCAATCATGAGCATTTCTTTTAGCTTACTTTTGAAAGATTCTTTGCAACAGTGCTTGCAGGTTTCAGAACATCCTTATGGGCAAGTTCCATGGCTGTGGAACAGCTGAGCACAGAGATGATTTTATGGATTGCTGCAACAACCACATCCTGGTATAAACAATTTTAACCCAAGTCCAATAACAAACTACTTATGGCAACTAGGGCAGCACTTAAATTGAGCTCCCTAAAAAGGATGACTGACACAGTTAAGAAAGAGATGACAACATAAAATTTGCAATTAAACAAATGAGCCATTACCCAGGACCAGCTGATGACCACAATGCCACCTGAGACAAGCAGGCTGTTGTAGCAGTATCTATACAGCTTAACCAGGCCAGACCTCAGTAATACTGCAGGGGAATGACTTAATCTGTGCCCATTTCAATCTCTTTCAATCTGAAAGTCAGCATTCCAGCAGCAAATTTCCTGCAAGCTTCATCAGCAAGCATTTCTCTGCCATGCACCAGGCTGGCACACAAAGGATCCACATCTGCCAAACAACGTGCTAATGCAGGGTTGTGCCATGTGTCTATGAGCATTGCCATCTTTTAATGCAGCTGCCTCTTACCCAGGCTTTGGAGGTATTGTAGATGGAGGCAATAAACCAGTGTCTGCAGAGAAGCTGTCTGAACTGGGGACTGGAGAAGGTGCAGGAGAATCCCGTGAGCTGACACTCTGTCCATCCGAACCAGAGCACTCCTTTACCAGCTTCACCTTAAAAGCATGAAATAAACCAGAGGTTTTTCTGGGTTCCCCAAAAAAGTTTTTCAGCAACTTCTTTATTTTTGATGACTACTCCTTTGTCAAGCTTATAGAATCACAGAATAGAATCATAGAATAGT